AGAATTTACTACATTTAATGAACAATGTATTTGAGACCTACTATGTGCAAGTCTCTTTATATGTTAAATATATTAAATATAAACAATAAACTTTAAAACCATCCTGAATTTAGTATTGCTATCCTCATTCTATGGACACAATGAGGTTCAGAGAGGTCAAGTCAATTATTTAAGGTCACACAGCTAGTATGTACCAGAGTAGAAATTTGAACCCAGGCCTATTTGCAGCTAAACAAATGACCTCTATGGAAATTTACATCCCTTCATAGGGTTTACACTACAGATATAAACAGACAGACCCATAGGGTGATAGTACTATTCACAGGTATACATTGCTAGAAACTAACGTAAAATAGGAGTACCTCTGTAAGAGAAGCCCTTAAGGGACATATAATACAAAGCATAAGATTGAAGTAGAAAGTGATTCCATAAGAGAGAAAAAAAGAAAGTGCTACTGAAATTCAGATAAAGCATTAGACAGAAATCAGGGGTGGGGGGAATGGGGCTGGGAATCAGGATAGGTTTCGCAGAAGAGCTATGGAGGATGGGCAGAACACTGACAAAGAAAGGAAAACATGCTATGCAAAAAAAATCTCAGAACAGCAAAGTCAGAAGTAAGACAGCATGAGGCTGAGAGGGTAATTATGTTCAGGTAATAGCCAGTTTTCCAGCCTGATTTTTAAAGTAAAATTTATAAAAGGTCCTAGTGAAAAGTAAAACGGATGGTAGTTCAAGATCAGGATGGGCTCAAATGCCTCCACGTCTACTTCTAATCAGCACCACATAGACAAAAGGCAGGGTCATGCAGACCTAGTTTAATACATGTCTCATCAATTTCAATGTGACTTCTACATCACTCATTTTTTTTATCAAAGTATATAGTTTCTAGGCAACTGTAATACTTAAAATTGTTATTCTAGAAATTTTTTTCTGTCTGGAAAACTTCTATGAAAGTCTTATTTCCCCCATTTTACCAATGTACAAACACTTCCCATCTTCTGAATATTAATGAGACCATGAAAAATAAGCCCTTTTGTACCTGACTTTCACCAGTGACTTTTTTTTTTAATTGGGGAATTGGGGAAGGTGAACAGTGTTGGGGAATTGGGGAAGGGGACCAGCCAAGTTGTTGTTCTTCATTCTTAGTTGTGGAGGGCACCAGTTGCCATCAGGCTGCCCATCGGCAGCTCATGGCCTCTAAACTCAAGGTGCTGTATTACAGTCTTAGTTGCGGGCGGGCATAACCCACCATCAATCAGGCAGCCTTGTTGTTAGGAACATGCACTCTCACCAGCTGAGCCATCCTGCCACCTGTTGGCAGCTCAGCAGCAGCTCAGCTGGGGCGCAGCGTCACTGGCCCATGTGGGAATTGAACCAGCGGCCCTGTTGCTCAGAGCTCCCGCTCTTAAGCCAACTCTTAACCAACTGAGCCACTCAGCCGGCCCTCACCAGTGATTTTTAAACACTGTGTTTACATTCCTGTCTCTAGTCTCAAAAACAACAAAAACATCTTGACCCTTAAGGGAGGTCACCCCTGCCCCCTAAACTCTCTAACTAATCCCTCATCACTTCCGCTAGAAGCTGATTCCTCGTCTCCTCCCCTTTACTGCAGCATTTGCAAACTCCAATGTGAGAAGCAGGTCACAGATAAACAACGGGTCTGAAAGAGTTTATATTGCGGGTCCATCACAACAGCTGTCTCATTACACTGTCTTTGAAACCACTCGCACAAGATGAAACTTTTGCATGAACCACACACAGCCCGCAGGCTGCCATTTTGCAACTTTTACCATGTGGCATCTGTAGGCCCTCCTTTCTTGTGTTTACCTGGCTGTCTTCCCCACTGGACCTAGTATTTTGTGAGCAAGAGCTATGGTCACTGGGGAAGAAAGATATATAACTGATTCATTAAAATATGTTCAATATTACAACACAGCTATATACACAGCGCTATGGGAAGGAAGGAGTTACCCAGGACAGGTTCTCCTTTTAAGAATGACATGAAGCTTAATGTTGATGGATATTTAGGAGCTTGCTGGGCACACTAAAAAAGAAAAGGGCATTCTAGCTCAAACAGATAGAATATGCCCGGCTTAGAGGTATTAAGGAATAGGATGTTAAGGGATTGCCAAGTGCTCCTGTACAGATAGAGTACAGGCACATGTAAGAATGCAGCTGGAGATGAAATTAGAAAAGGAGGCAGACCGAGTGGCTCAGTTGGTTAAGAGCTCGCTCAAGAGTTTGAGCTCTGAGCAACAGCGGTTCGAGTCAGCCCGAGCTGAGCAGCCAACAGGTAGCAGGATGGCTCAGC